GCTTGTGTATGATGTTCCTTTGTCAAACAATGTATATGTATGCTTTGTATCTGTATTTACATAGTCATTACATTCTATAAATAATGCAACAATCATCTATGTATATGACAAAGGGTATAAAGCTTGGATACACTATGCACACTCAAATCTGGTGGTTAAGTTAGTGTGATGGAGCTGTGGTGGTTTCTCAATCTTCCAAATGATTTGCAATGCAATTTTATTTTCATTAGAGAAGAATGCAGTTATTATTTTAATGGGGGAAGCAAGCAAGAATGAGGATAATAAGGTAGTGACAGGGAAAACATGTTTGGGGAAGCCCTGTAGCCTGGGAGACAGCGTGTGCAAGGAAGGACAGTACCATGATTGCTCCTACCCTGGCCAGTCAGCTGGCTTTCATAAAAGGCTCTACCACTTTGTGTGTAGTTTTCTTTTGAGATTCTCAAAGTTTTATCTTTATATGAAAGTTTTTCTTTATATGAAATAATTACTAGATTGGTGTACTTAATATGATAAACGTCAACCCTTTCTTTTCTTTTAAAATAAAGCCTCCTTCTGGTGCTGCTGGTGTGTGTGTTTTCATGGTATAGCATCACTTAAATATTCTGAAAAAAAAAAGAATTTATATGTAGTTACGTTTCAGTTGTGGCATGGTGTAATTACACACCACAATAAACATTTAAATAAATCAAAGTTTGAGAGAGTCACTGGTGTTCACTGAAATCTCAGGTACAAAATTCAGCATGAGACATGACGTGATTTGGGATTTCTCCTAGCCTCAGTGTGCTATTGAAATGATTTATTTGTCTTATCCAAGGAAAAGTGAAGTAGCTTCTGTGGGTAATTTCTGTACCTTCAGGATCAAAGAATTTCTACATTTCAAATGTCTTTATCTGTACAAGAAGTAATCATGTTTTATAGTTTGTCTTTGACAGGAAAGATCATTCCAAATGCACTTTGAAAAGAGCAGATGGGCTGGTGACAGAGTTCAGTAGTAGACTACTTGCCTGTCATGGTGGAAACAAAACAAATCAGCTATATATCCTTATCTTCTGGAAAAGAAATGAACCTCAGTCAAATTTTACACATTTGTATTTGTGCGTGTGTCTGAATAACAACAGCACCTCACATTTATAAAACATCTATCAGATGAGCCACCAATGAGATGTCTTCAGATATTAATCATAGAACAATATAGTTGACAGAAGTCATCATTGCTATCACATAAAAATGTCCACTCTGGGCTGGATAGATGACTCAGTGGGAAACAGGAAAGTATTTGCTGTGTGCCTTAGTTAGGATTATTATTGGTATGATAAAATGCCATGACTAAAGCAAAGTGGGGAGGAAAGGGATTATTTGGCTTACACCATCCCCATCACAATCTGTCACTGAAAGAAATCAGGGCAGGAACTCAAAGCAGGGCAGAAACTTGGAGGCAGAAGTTGATGCACCAGTGATAGATGGGTGCTGCTTACTGACTTGCTCCACATGGTTTGCTCAGCCCGCTTTCTTATAAAATCTAGGACCACCAGCCCAGGGATGGCTCCACCCACAGTGAGCTAGGCCCTTCCCCCATCATTCATTAGTTAAGAAAATGCTCTCCAGGCTGTCCCACAGCCCGATCTTATGGAGGCATTTTCTCAACAGAGGTTTCCTCCTCTCAGGTGACTATAGTTTATGTCAAGTTGACATAAAACTAGCCAGCACACTATACAAGCATATGGATCTGAGTTCAGACCTTCAGTTCCCATATAAAAGCTGGACACAGTGGAATGTGTGTGCAGCCCCAGGGCTGGGGAACAGGGACAAGAGGCTTTTGCAGATATGCTATGGCAAAGTCAACATTTAATAAGAGACATGACTTTAGAAAGTGAGGTGAAGGGCTGGTGAGATGGTTCAACTGGAATAACACTTGCAGTATAAGCCAATGACCTGAGTTTGATCTTAGAGCCTATGCAAAGGTAGAAAAATAACTTTATAAAGCTTTCCTCTGACCTTACATGTATGCACATGCACATCCACACAAATGTCATATACAAGCATAGCAGTAATAAAGAAAAAATAAAATTAACAACCAAAATAAAAATAAGATGAATATTTGTGTGTGGTGGTACATACCTTTAATCTCAGGATTTGAGGGGCAGAGACAGGATTTCTGTGAGTTCAAGGCCAGAAGGGTCTATACAGAGTTTGAGGTCAAGTCTGAAACCCTGTCCCAAAATTTGTTTTTATTTAATGGAATATCCTAATGTTTGACAACTCTTATTTGCATTCAGATATAAAAATGGAAATTACTGAGGCCTTTTGAAAACTTAATTTGAATCCACTACTTCTTTCATAAACCATCTTCTCATTTTATGGTGGAAACAAATTTTAGAAGCTGGAGACATCATCTTTCAGCATTTACATTTTAAATTATTTACATTTTAAATTATTTTATTTTCGTAAGTATTAGGTAAAAGTACTGATTACAAAAGGATAGACTGGGGAGCTTTCATGACAAGGGCTCCTTCTCCTTGTTCTTCTTAGTCTTGCTGATTCCAGTTTTGAAATTAGAACATGCTACTTGTGTAATCTAAAGGAGAGAGATATAGAGATAGAGATAAAGGTAGATAGATAGATAGATAGATAGATAGATAGATAGATAGATAGATAGGTCAGCTGGGCATGGTAGTACATACATGCTTTGATCTCTGTGCTCGGGAATCTCAGGTAGGTGGATCTCCGTAACTTCCAAGTCAGTTAGGTTTATATAGTGAGAAGATGTGTGAAAGTCCTAGGTACAATACCCAGGAAAACAGACAGACACAATGACAGAGAGAGAGAGAGAGAGAGAGAGAGAGAGAGAGAGAGAGAGAGAGA